TTGACGCCGCCGCTCGGGAAATGAACACCCTCCAGGGCTGGGCTAAAATTCTCAGCAAGGACTGGCTGGGTGATGTTCGCAAGGTTCTTGAAGTTAGACAGGCTCTCGAAGTAAGCTTTTGTTCCACCTTTCGATTTGGCAATTTGCAACAGATCCACTAACCACTTTTCTTTTCCCAGGTTATCGAGGCCGAGGCCCGCCTCCAGTGCTTGCGGGTTGAGTAAGCGCATACTTTGAGCGAAGCTGAATTCATTTTACCCTGTATATCCTCGTTTTACAGGAACTGTACCTCTAGTTGTACTTGTGCTTTAGACCCAGATGCTAGAACTTTCCTATGTCTCTTGACTCATATAAGGTGTGCAGTATGTAGTATGTACTCTAAATCTGGACAAATCTTCTCATCATAAATCAAACGAACAAGTCTGATAGTATCAGACTGATACTCGAGTCTTCCGCGGTTTCGTGCCTAGGCGGGCCCACGGGTGCGAATAAAGTGATTACGTAACATGGCCTGACGCGCATTCCGATCTACAACTTGCAGCCTGATAGTGCAACTGATTGTGCAATATTGTCTTTGATTTCACTGGCATTTGAACCCTTGCCAACTTGGCTGGTTGCGCATATGCTTGTGTCTGGCCGAATTATGTCTGTCTCTTTCTCGAACGTTGCCATCTAGCATTGTTGCCCTTCCTGCAGCAATGTCGCAACAACCGAACGAGCCCCCTGTACGATCTTCAATGTCTCCGGTGAATGGACGACCACGAGACCGATCCTCGGAAACAGCGTCGCCTTTTCTCCGACCCGATGGAGGTTCATTTCGCCAGACCCCGTCCGGAAAGAACGACGGCCAAGCGAGCGTGGAGTTGGAGGGTAGTACACTGGGCAGCAGTTCCCGTGATGGAAATCGGAGGACACCGAGCCAGCGGAGAACGCAGAGCTCAGGTGGTTTCCTGCTTGACTCGTTACCTCGTCCGCGAAGCACAAGAGTTAGCCTGCATCGCCCTCGCCCCTCGGAACCCCCCCAAGAGAAGCGCAGCGTTCCAGAACCGGATATTGTGGTACCCAAGAAACGCTCGAAATTTCCATGGATCCGGCTTAAGCATCATGCATCTGAATCAATCCCAGATGATGCAAGTTCAAACCCGAATAGTGCTTGGCAACCTTCTACGACTCCTGATAGACAGCCCTCCGGAAACCCCTCGCAGCCTGAGCAACGGGAAGACAATGTGACACATTCAACTCCTGGCCTTGATAGGGACTCGATCCAGATTGTGAATCTAGCCTTGAATCTTAATGAATCTCGGAGGAGGACAGCCTCTGGAATACCCCTTGGCTCTGAGAGCCGAAGACCAATATCTGTCTCTCAACCCGCTGTTCCGACAGTGAACGGCTATGTGTATTCTCCACAAGCGAGGGAGTTTCAGCGTGACTCGCCGTATCGCAATTTTACCCAGGTCTCTGGTAGGCGTTTGTCACATGGGACACTGCCGAGCTTAGACCAATCATCTGTTGTGAATTTATTGCCTCCATCCGCGATTGAGGATCAGAGAGCATATGAATTCTCCGAAAGCACTTTGGCTCGTGCTGAGAGAGCACGGAATCATTTTGATTTATTTCATGAATATATGCGGCTACTGCCCTCATTACCACCTCTTCGAGATGCAGTCACGGCTGATGCTGAGTCTAAACCACATAGATCCAACCGTGGTTATAACCCGCTTCAAATGATTCGCAACCGAAAAGTTAGGTATCGCGAGAAATGCTCCATCGACGCAGATGCCGAAGGATGGCACGACGTTGAAAAAGTCCATCAATGGATCAATAACGTCGAGCAAAAATACAGCCACAGAGAGTATGACCCAATAGATTGCTTAAAGCTGCCACCTTTCCAACAAGGTCGCCGCCATGTGTCTATTGGGGAACATGAAGGTATGGATATGATGCCTACCTCTCCGGGGTCGAGCTTGCGGCGAGTCAGCCGAACCAGCAGCACGAAGGCCCGTCGACCACGAATTGATTGGAAGATCTCACCGGCAGAGCTTCTGGCCGATGCCGCATGGCTGGAATATGGTGCCAACAAGACGAAGGTGGTCGACAAGGATGGCTGTAGACTATACCCTAACCCCAAAGAATTAGTTATCATGGACACAGGCGATGACATCGGGACGCCTTATAATAAGCAGAAGCGCCTTTCGGTCGAAGTGCGAGATCCTGGAGAGGGACATTCGTCACCGCGCACTTCTCTCTCCAGTTCTCACCCTGCATTGGCGCAAGAGTTCAAGAGCGTGGGTCGTGGGCGGCACAGGCACAGATTTCGAAGTCATTCGCACAGCTTACGCAGCCGTAGTGCTTCGAGCAAACGAAAGCCGTTACGATGGGATCATGGCAAAATGCGTTCGGGCAGCGTCTCGAGCTCTTCAAGCTCAGATACCCGCCCTTCCGTCGATGAGAAGCCTCGCATGTCTCGTGAGCATATCCGCGACCACGTTCAAAGATTCGTCGAAAACGCACAATCAGCATCTCGGACATCGCGCGCCAAATCCCCCGATGTTCGTAACGCTGGCATTGATCGGGGAAGGACACCACAGCCAACTGAGCCATTGTCGGTCAACAAGAAGCAAGCCCGCAAGCGCATGAAAGACTCTTTCTCATCGGCGGGTAGTCTTGATGACCGGCACGATCTTCGTGTGTCCCTAGAGGGCATGGATAGTACTGCGCCCAACTCTCCCGCTCGCATTGGCTACTTCCCGAGCATAGCAGTCAATCTGTCACCCCCCTCAAGTCGATCTCCCTCGCCCGCAAAGAAGGGTCTTCGTCACAAGATTGCTTCACGCCACGAGCGTAGCAAGAGCAAACAAGCAGATCGAGAGCGAGAGCGGGAAGATGAATTGCCGGAACCCGAGACTTTGCGTCAACGAAATCTGATGGCACTGACGGAGGGTGCCTCTAAGCTCGAGCCGAGTCCTCTTCCTGACGTTGTGTCATCATCCTATCATGACGATCAAGGCACGCAGGAATGCAACCGGGGAGATGGCCATCGGTCCCGTAAAGGGCCCCATCTCCCCGAATCAAAGCTGCGAGGAATATTCAAGGGACCAGGCCGGATAACAAAGATCGTGGGCAATGAAGTCTCCAAGGTCGGAGATCTCATCTTGAAGAAAGAAGATCCTGAATCTCGGAAATCATCCTCCGCCACCACATTTCCATCAGATGATAGCGGTTCTGATGAAGAGTCTAGGGGCGACAGGAAGTATGGCTCCAAAGGTCTCTTACGGCGCCTGCCAACATTTACAGATGAGCCTGGGCGATTGACTCGTGGAAATTCCGAGAAGAATTCATCCCGAAGCTTTATACCCTCCCTACCGACCTTCACATCACCGCTGCGGCAAGATGAACGGAGTGAAACAGCAGATACGACCGATTTTGGCAATCCTAACGAGCGAGTTCCTTCTCCACAAAATTATGGTTCCCGTGACTCTCCCAAGAAGTTCGCGCTGCCACGTAGCAAAACGCTTGATTTCAGCCCTTCTCTACACACGGGACGGACAAAGCGCCACGAGATCAAAGACTCTTCCATTCCTTTCAGCTTAGCACGGCCTCCTGTCACTGGGCTTGCCAACGCTCGAGCATCACCAGGGCTTTCTCCGGAAGGAAGACGCTCCGGACTTTCAGGTGCTAGTCGCGCCTGGAGTATATCTGGGCGCAGTATCCGTACCTTGATTGACACCGGTGTACCTGGTAAACCAGAAGTCGAGCGCACGCGGGCTCTTCTATTATCATCGGGGATCAAGGCCCGGGAGATTACTCGCCGAGCCCATACCTTCCGTGAGCCAGTTCCTCACTGGCTTCAAAGCTCGGTGGGTCCCGGCACATCTGTTCCACGAGTGACGCGAATTGGCGAGTTCGACCTCGCTGCTCAATGTCTCCTCCAACGTTTCGAGCACACCCAGCACTCGTTCCAACAATCTATGCATCATTTCTCCACCTCCACCTCGTACCCCCTCCGGTCCCAGCTGAAGAACCTGGAAGACCTAGTCAACAATTCCCTGACTCCTCGCGTCCGAACCACGGCAAATGATGCCGAAGACCTATGTGTTCAGCTCAACACCACCAGCACACTCGCTGTTAAGCAGCTGAGTGATGCCCTTGATAAAGGCCTTCGTAAGCGTCGCCGTCGGTTGCGGTGGATCCGCCGCACTGGTTTCATGGTTTTGGAATGGGCTCTTGTTGCTGTGCTTTGGTGGGTGTGGCTGATTGTCATGGGTTTCAAGTTTGTACGTGGTGTCTTCCGGGCCGTCTTTACAGGTATCCGATGGGTCTTGTGGCTTTGATCGCAGGCTGCATATTCATTCTTCGTTCTGATTCCGTGCCCACTACCCGTTTGGGGACTTTTCTTTTTACATTACTGTTTTTAACTCCATCGCCCCTATTGGCGTGCATATACCCTTCCAGTGAGCTTGTTTATGGCTGCTGTCTTCTTTTCTAACCCATCATATATTATTTAATGGAGTGTTGCGTCTGTTTCAAATGATTCCCATGATATTTTGTCTTCACCTTCTGTACATAATTCGGTTGTGCTATCTCTGTTCCAATACATCTGAATTTGAATAATACCCATTCGCCTCTGTTGATGGTGGACCTTGTCTACTGGCTGTCTTTCAGCTCTCGGAAGGGGACATGGGCGTAATACGAGAATCCCTCTGCAGGGTTGACAATGAGTAACTTTCTAGAACAAAGCTCTTTGCTCGTCTTTGTTCGACTTTGTTACTCTTTCTGGATATTCCAGAACAATACCTTCTTTGATCAGAACACTTGAAGATGTACAAGCATACCTCCTTGTTTTCTCTTTCTCTTGTCTATGTTTAACAATGGGAACCTTTACTATATAAAAAGGACCAAAGGGTATAAATACCTGGAGATGTCTGTTGGATTCATACGTTTTTTATATATTCAGCAGAAACAAACCTATCACAATATATCGCTCATCTTATACACCACAAATGTCTCCAACAGGTAACAAGATCCCCACTGACTCATCTAGTCCAGCCAACTCCGGTCTAAGCCGCTCCTACAAGGAAGCTAGCAGCAGCCGGTGGCAACTAGAAGCTCTCTTCCAGACATTCTTGGAGGACAGACCGGCCGATACTGTTCTTGCTGTTCAAGAACGACGCCTTTTCATTTCCTGGGACCTTAAGGCAATCCATTACTTGAGAAAATGCTTGAGGACGTGGATTCTGGACAAGGTCCCAGGTGACGCGATCGGTGCATTCCTCGTGACTGTCTTGTACGAACAAGACTTTCATCTGGATTATCGACTGACCATGATGGTGAGAGATGGGGAAACCCAGCTGCACATTGCTCGTCGTTTGCTGGCATTCTATCAAATCCGAGATGAAGAAGGCGATCCGCTCTGGGATAATGTGACCATCTATGCCGAAGACGCTCACCCGAAACCATCAGTTGGTCAGGGAAATGGTGCTGCTGGAAGACCTGCTGCCACGAAGGGACTTCCTCGTATCCCTACACCACCGCCTGCTGATCCGAGATGGCCCTTCTTCATAGGTGCGCTTAGCGACCCCGAGGTTGAAGACCTCATGGACAAGTTAGGAGACGACGACCAGCATGTAGAGGAATATTTGCCTCTCTTGTTCACCGGTGTGAGTAAGGAAGATATTCCCATCATCCAGGCGTTTCGGAGATTCAATCTCCACAAGAATGATTACTCCGAGCACATTCCCCTGTCTGAGCCTGGGACCGATCGGATTGAACATACACCGAAGCAGACTGACACATCGCAGGATAAGCCCTTACCTCCCGTTTCCATGAAGAAGCCTCTCTCAATCCTACCCACGGACAAGGCTCTTTCCGCTCATAAATCCCCCCTCCCCCTCCCCCTCCCCCTCCCGCCCCTTTCATGCCCCTCAAGCCCAAATCCCTCATTTGTACGTGTGTCGACTTTCAAGGCAGAAAAGAAGATTAAAGTCAGATGGGCAGACTATGTACCAAGCCAACATGCTAACATTGAACAGACAAAGGATACGACGGGTCTACTTTCGTCCAGCAGAGCTCGCCCGAAGCCCCCCGTTAACGTCGACGACAACCAGCACCCTCCTCGTCCCTCAGACACTGTTCATGCTTTTATTCGAAGTCCTTGGCACTATAATATTCCCCCGTCCCCTCCTCAACTAAAGAAGAGAGCGGGAGTCGAAGACTTGCGCAAGGCTCGAGAGCGTGGTGCTTGAATAACTAGAGACGTTTGAGTCGACGAGTTCCGAGTCTATTTTGCTGAGCGAAGCGAGGCATACTATAGAGTCGTTAGCGGAAGAGAATAATCGTGCCAGGCGCCCCAAACACATACCGTGTGTTGGTGCGCCCCAGTCAACAATAAATCGCAAATCAGGTGCCTTTTGTATGGTATACTAATAGAAATGGTACCTAACATACAAAAATCATAATGTCCAATTTCCCGACCCTAAGAAATTCAAGTTTCTATATCATTCATGGGTGAATTCCTTTGCAGGACTTTCCTTCGTGCAGTAGAAGACGAGAGCGATATAATAACCCCAACCATCTAGGGAGGTCAGCTAGCAAGCATGGAGATCATACAGACCGCAATAGACTTCCTTATCTCCTAATCCAACAACATCCTATAACTTCCTTTTTCATTCTGTATGTTGACCGTCTAACGTCTCCTCTAGGATTCTAGTTTATTTGAAGGCCTCACAATGGGTAATAAATGTATTATCACTGAGGCTGTCTAAAAATGACAGTAAAGAGTAAGAATTTCTTGGGAATCGTCAAGCGAACCAAAGCCAGAGCAAAGCCTCACAAAGGTAAGAAATGTGTGATCACTGAGGCAGTCTAAAAATAACATAGTAAAGAGTAAGAATTTCCGGAGAATTGTCAAGTGAACCAAAGCCAGAACAAATCTTGCTAGAGAGCCGAAAATACCCGACGGTCTAGAACTGCGCGTTCTGTCCTGCGGCGCGGATATGTATCGGAATTCCTGCCCCGGTGCTCGTCATTGCTGATGACAATTTGAGAAGACCGTATCGATTCAGGGAGTAAGAATCCCCCTTTAACAAGTACGTCTTGAGTTCTACCGGGTTCGAGTTCGACGAACGTGGTACAGAGCACTTCGAAATTCTGGAATACAACGGCTTGGCTCGACTCATCCGTCGGCCGTCCAAGACAGAGAACGGATCCCGACCATCCATCGGCGGGGCTAAACGGTTCCTTCGTTTTCCATAGAAGCGATGCAGTCTGTGAATGCGCAGTGCGGTCCCATAGGTACTGGGTACCTATAACCGTTGCGTTTCTAATTGCATTCGGGTCAACGGTTCCTTCGAGAAGAGCCCACCTCCCAACGACTGTATTCATTCGGACAACGTAGACATCGGACCCAGCGAGTACAGTGGAGTATGACGCCCATTCCGACACAGCGGGATAACCAGGCGGGCTGATAAGCTGAGGTAACTCATCGTCCATAATGAGGCTAAGGTCGTGCCGATAGCCAGCGGGAAACGGAAGAACTGGGCTTGGATCGTCGAATGTGTAGGAGATGGTACCGATCTATATGAATAAGTTGGAGTTATTAGCAGTAAGCACGGGAAAAAGGGAGGAGACTTACCCTCTTTTTCTCTGTTGCTAACCAAACCTCTTTCCCAATCGGAGAATTTTTATTGGAGTTCCGTACGACTCCAATAGCAGAAGTATCAGATTGAGGTGGTGGATTCCGGAGGCGTAGAAGAGCGCTCTTGGCTCTTAGGATCCACTCGGAAAACATCTTCGTCATACGGGAGCGTCGAGGGTTTCTCACAAAGCCATGCGTTACAGTTGTGATAGCTTCTTTTCCATCGTTCATCCGAATTCTCAGGCCTAAGCAGCCTTGACCCTGGAGACTCTCAGGTTTGTCGCAAACTTCCATGCCGGATGTAACGGTATCGGCGGTAGCTTCAAGCCTATATTCATCATAGAGTATTCGCAAACCACCAGCTTCCATAATCCAGTTTTCCTCATATATGGCTTGAATGTCGTGGAGTGATTTGAAAAGGACCACCAGGAATCCACTGACGAAAACACGGGCCCCTACTGCCGTGGGGAAAAGCTCGCGCAAGCCATCAATCTTCTCAGGGGACAGAAACTTTCTTGGGTTGATACCTTCTCTAAAAAGGTAATCCTCCTTCCATGGTGAACGTGGAGTCAAAATTCCAGACGGGTAAAGGTTCCGTCTATCCTCAGGATAAGGGTGCAACGGTCGCCCTCCCGCTTCAATGTCTTCGCACGCGCCGTTCACAAGCCAGACCTCAGGGCCGTACTGGGGATGCGATACGTAAACTAGATCACGTAGTCGCAATGCCGGATGATGAGTCCGAACCAGCTGTTCATTCTCTGGCGTAGTCTCAAGAGTGTGAATAGCGCGTATTTCTGCTGACTCGGGGAGTCCCCATACTTGCGAATCCGTTCCTGTTGCGCGTTAGCAACTCAAGTCTAAATACAGCATGATAGGAAAGCGAGATTCATCTTACTTAGTACAAGCCTGGGAGATAGTGTCTGATAACGGGGAAAGGAGGTATCGATGTCGGTTTCTGGGATCGGCAGGCGATTATACCGTACCGGGGACGCGAGTCTGGGGCGTTTCGCTGACATGCCGCCGTGGGGTATGAGTCTAGGACCCACAATTGCCGAGAGCACGGTAAAACCAGACCCCACGGTCGGCCTGATCCGATTCGGCAATTCAGGACCTGTATGCTGATTGTGCTTGGGAAGCTTGAGAATAGAACCGTAAGACGCGTACGAGAGTGGGATACACGATTCAGAAGATGGGATTGGATTGTGTCGAGAGGGAGAGATCCCCATGTGTCACGTGATGGGTCTTTTCTTATGGGCCCAAGATCCATCACCTCTTTGAGTCGGCTCAGCATCTGAAGCAAATTACCCCGGCTACTATTGATGATACGCAGTACAAGGTCCTCAGGCCAGGGGTTTTTGAGTTCGGCAACAAACAACCAAGGACAAGAGTTCCATACTTCGTTGGGTGTCCTTGTTCAAAGACACAAATGGTTATAAGTAAATAATCCGAAGAGGGAGAGGTAAAGTAAAACAAATTCTATTTGTTCGGATAGGAGAGTAGAAAGTAGTATCATGATCTTGAGATACAGGTCCCAGAAAGTCACAATGTGATATAGTGCCATGCGTAAATAGTACAAGGGGTTTTTGGATGGAAGAAGCAGCAGGGATTGAAAGCAAAATACGCTGCCTCTTAGCTCCAACAAGAGCCAATGCCACGCATTGCATAGCTTGGGTTGCCAGAGTAGTCGGAGTGGGTGAGGAGTTATTACATATTTTATCGTTTACTTCTTGTGTCTGTCGGCCTGGGCCTTCAGGTACTTAGCAATGAGTTCCTTCCTGTAAGAGAAGACAGTTAGTAACGGATAATGTATTTAGAGAAGTGATTGGGGTTGAAACATACTGCATGTGAGGAGGAGCCTTCTCGTAGTGGCTGAACTCCATGGTGTATTCACCCTTGCCCTGAGTAGCGGCGCGCAGGTTACTACTGAAGCCGAACATGCCGTTCAGACTGCAGTCAGCGTAGACAGTGAACTCGTCAACACCGGTTTCGGTGTCGTTGATAGTGGCACCGCGCTTGTTCAACAGGCCGATGACATCACCTTGGAACTCAGTCGGAGCGGTTACGACCGTCTTCATGAGAGGCTCCAAGACAGAAGGCTGGCTTTCCGCGAAAGCCTTGCGGAATGCCTGCTGGGTGGCATTCTTGAAAGACATTTCGGAGGAATCTGTCATGTGAGTGGCACCGTCATTGATGACCATGCGAGTTCCGAGAACCTTGTGGCCAATCAGAGGACCCTTTTCACAAGAGAGGTTGAACCCCTTCTCGCAAGCGTACAGGAACTTCTCTGAAATGCTGCCTCCAATAACCTGCTGCTCGAACTTGTTGTCCTCGAGGACACCGGTGGGCTCCATCCATCCCATAACACGGGCGAATTCACCAGGTCCACCGGACTGCTTCTTGAGCAGGTGGTCGAACTCAACACGGTTGCCGATGGTCTCGCGGTAAGCGACCTGGGGCTGGCCAGTCTCGCAATCGACCCGGTACTCACGGCGCATACGCTCCACGTAGATGTCAAGGTGGAGTTCACCCATTCCGGAGATAATGGTCTGGTCGCTCTCGTTATCATAGGAAACTCGGAAGGTTGGGTCCTCTCTCTGGAAGCGGGCCATGGCCTTGGAGAAGTTGGCACCGTCCTTGCTCTGCTTGGGCTTGATTGAGAGCGAGATGACGGGCTCGGGAACGAACATGGATGTCATGCTGTAGCCGAGAGTTCCATCAGTGAAGGTGTCGCCAGATGCACACTCAATACCGAACACGGCACAGATCTCACCAGCGCCAATCTCGCTGACTTCCTCCATGTCGTTGGAGTGCATGCGGACAATACGAGGAACCTTGACCTTCTTGTTGTTGCGAGCGTTGAAGACATTGGAGCCCTTGCGGAGAGTACCCTGGTAGACGCGGATGTAGGTCAATTGACCGAAGTTGCTCTCTTCCAACTTGAAGGCCAGACCAACAAAGGGAAGAGAGTTATAAGGGACAAGCTTCACAGACGCCTCGTCACGCTTCTGGTCAAGGGCGAGATTCTCCACCTCAGCAGGGTTGGGGAGGAAATCAATAACACCGTCGAGCATGGGCTGAACTGACTTGTTGGCCAGCGCAGATCCCATGAAGACAGGGGTGAACTTCAAGCCAATAGTAGCTCGGCGGATGGCAGCTCGGATCTGATCCTCGCTGGGTGTGATTTCTTCCAAGAACATCTCTGCAATCTCATCGTCGACATCGGCAAGAGTCTCGATGAGCATGGTACGGCGCTCCTCGGCAAGGGCCTTGACCTTCTCAGGAATTTCATCCTTCTCCAGTATCTCCTCTCCGCTCTCGCCAACATTGTATAGAGCCTTCATGCGGATCAAATCAACGACACCCTCGAACTCGTCCTCGGCACCGATGGGGACCTGAACAGCAGCAGCAGGGATCTTCAGCTTAGTGTTGATCTGGTCAACGGCCTTGAAGGGATTAGCACCCATACGGTCCATCTTGTTCACAAATGAGATACGAGGAACGTTGTAACGACGCATTTGGCGATCGACGGTAATCGTTTGGGATTGGACACCCGAGACAGCACACAGAATCATGACAGCGCCGTCCAGAACGCGCAGCGCTCTCTCGACCTCAATGGTGAAATCAATGTGACCGGGGGTATCAATCAAGTTGAGGTGATACTTCTGGTCAACACCCTCCTTATCCTTCTTAACCCAGTCACAGAAGGTGGCCGCGGACTGGATGGTAATACCCTTCTCACGTTCCAAGTCCATGGAGTCCATCTTGGCACCGACGCTGTCACGCCCGCGGACCTCGTGGATAGCCTTGATACGACCAGTGTAGAAAAGAACTCGCTCTGTGCAGGTGGTTTTACCGCTGTCAATATGGGCCTAGGCAGCGAGAGTTCATTAGACAAGAACAAGAAGCGTACATGGAGCAAGTGGGATAGTATATACCGCAATACCAATGTTACGACACTTGCTAAGACGAGCGGACTCCAGCGGATCGAGATTGTCGATAATGGCGGCTTGGGACAGACCCTCCGGGTCGGCCTTAGCAGCCTCGAGACTAATAACAACATTAGAAAGAGTAAAAGAAACAGATCGGGTCGACGAGTATACTTACACCGCAGAAGCAACAGCAGAGGAATTTCGGCGCTGGTCCCATTGTCCCAGCTTCGACTGATAAGCCGGCGCAACAGCGGCGGACCGGAACGCGGCCGTTGAAGCGCATCGTTGGCGCAGAAGAGTCTGGGGTTGGAAACGAGCTGATCTGGTTAGACCAAACACCGCACGGGTTTGTAACCGTGCAAGATAAGGAGACCGCATGGTGATGATCCAACCACTCCAAAATTGAGATGATCAACGCGAATTGGATGTTTAGTTGGCTCCGAAAAAAAGTTCGGGGAAGCCAGGAACGCATCACGTGATTATTTACGTCGGCCCATCAGAGCCGGTAGATTACAATTCGGTGTATAGCTAGCCATAAAATGAGATATCGATATTGAAAACGGCCATATCTTGGTTGTGGAGGTTTGAGTAGGGCGACAAGCCGTTGGTTGGAGTAAGGTGCGCATATATCCATAGATATTGGGCATCTGAGAAAGACTAGAGATTAGGATGAATTGGATCGAAACATGAAGACCAAATAAACTTGATTGTCACACTAATATACAAGGAAAATACACAAGCGCCGTGGTACCACTGTCTGGTTTTATAACAAGAATGCAAAAGTATGCTGCCGTACGAGTTCCGCGACGGCAAGTCGTGTATCCAAGGCAGCTGAAGACAACCTGGTTATTGAGAGCATATTTTTATGCCTAGAAGTATCGCCAATATCTCAGATTGTTCGAGTAAAGGCTGCCGCGGAAGGATAAAGCGATGCAAGCTATCGGAGAAAATGATGGAAAGCGACGACTCTATTTCCCCTGCCGTTGCTTGTGCTTAGGGTTCTTCGAGCTAAAAGATCAAGAAAAAAACATATTAAAACCGACCAACTCCAGGCTTCAATGTCACAGGGTCCACTCACCAGATGATGTAGACACGGCCTTTGCGGTGAACGGGCTATTCAAAGTCAGCACCAGACAACATGGCTTCGCAATCATTCCAACATTGAAGCTATTCAATATCTTAGATCATACCTTGCAGCCATCGCATAGTCTCTTAACAGAAGACCGAGTCTTCATTCCTCGAACCTGCTCCACCTGTTTAGCAGACCCATTCGCCACAGCAACAGCATTGCCGGACTTTGCTTGTCCACGGAGTCTTGTCAGGCTGTTGCGAATCATGTGTGAGAAAGGCCGTAATGAGGCGGTCCGGGTGGTCACAGAGGGGAAGAACTGGCGGAGGGCCCCGGAGGAGGCACCGAAAACGGCGCGGAGGGAGAACATAGCGGCGGGTTTTGATTCTGGTTTATCTCCGCGAAAGACGATCAAGTGGAGGCTGCGCCTCAAGTGTTCCTTGTGAAGAACAAAAGAGGTATCGGGGTGCGGTGCGAGGTTGATATTTGGCTTCCAAGGTTCTTTGGTTGTGCTGCGATCGCAAATGTTGGCCGGAGCTTCTGTATCGCCGGTCAGCCGATGAGAGTGGCCGCTGTGATTGGTCCGTTTTATACTACAAGTAAAACAGAATGACAATGCGAAATGTGGATTTATTGAGTGCTTCGATAGAAAAGTCTGTTTTAATGCTCGATAATAAGAAAAAGAATATTTGAGGGTATTTGTACTTATGCTAGTATGTAGTGAGAACCCTAAAAGTAGACTATGTGACCTATAATACAAAGGGTCTATCAAAATCAACCAAACGCCAAACAAGAGACAAAACAGGCCTGGACCTTAAACCGCTTAAACCATAACAAGCTATGAACAATACATTTCTCGTTACCCACCTTCCCTTCTTTTGCAATTTTAGAACAAAATGTTTATTCGGAACGCAAGAAGGTCTTGTAAGTGGGCGAGTCAGTGTGCTCACTGAACGGATAGCCCAAATCCCGGAGGAAGGCCTCCAAGTCCTCCTTCTCGGGCGACGGGCACTGGATTCCAGCTAGAACCTTGCCGACATCACCGCCGTAGTTTCGATAGTGGAACAGAGAGATATTCTGTTCCGGACGAAGGGTGGTGAGGAACTTGGCGAGAGCACCTGGACGCTCGGGAAACTCGAACATGAAGATGCGCTCATCGGCAGCCTCGCAGCGGCCGCCAACGAGGAAGCGCACATGGCGCTTGGCAAGTTCGTCATCACTCAAATCCCGGCAGCTCATGCCGGCCTTCTCTAGCTCTCCCATGATCTTGGCCAAGTCTTCGCGGCCAGTAGAGGCAGATAGCGAGATACCCATCAATACATCAGCCGAATCTGCGCGGGCATACCGGTAGTTGAACGCGGTAACGGCGTGGGGCAGGACAGTTTCAACGAGCTTGGCGAACGCGCCGGGCTTCTCGGGGATTTTCACGCTAAGAAGTGCCTCCTTCTTCTCACCAAGGGCTGCGCGCTCAGCAACAAACCGCAGACGGTCGAAGTCCATATTAGCACCGGAGGTAATGGCAATAAGCTCGCGGTTGGGGTCAGGGCTAGGGTTCTTGGCAATATACTTCTTGAGACCGGCAAGAGCGAGAGCACCGGCGGGCTCAACGATGGACCGGGTATCCTCGAAGGCGTCCTTGATAGCCGCACAGGTCTCGTCGGTGGACACCTGGATGACTTCGTCGATGACCTCCCGGCTAAGACGCCAAGTTTCCTCGCCAACAGACTTCACTGCTGCACCATCTGCAAAGAGCCCAACCTCCTTGAGGAAGACTCGTTTACCCGCATCGAGGGACTGAGCCATAGCGTTGGCATCGTAAGCCTCGACACCGATGACCTTCACCTGGGGTGCGATGCGCTTGAGGTAAACTCCGATGCCGGCAATAAGACCACCTCCTCCAACAGCACAGAAGACTGCCTCGAGCTTGTCCAAGTTTGCTTGGCGCAGAAGCTCCATGCCGATGGTACCTTGGCCAGCAATGACATAAGGGTCGTCGAACGGTGGAATGTTCGTTAGACCATGCAGCTTCTCTAATCGGTGAGCCTCATCTTTGGCAGCATCGAAGTCCATTCCGTGAAGAACCACACTTCCTCCCAAGCGAGCAACATTCAGGTGTTTAATGGCAGGGGTGCCGGAGGGCATGACGATGGTAGCGGGGATTCTCAGCTTGCGGGCAGAAAAGGCCACACCTTGAGCATGATTTCCTATGTCGAGTGAGTCAGAAGGCGTTTCCATTTTGCATTATCTACCAGTTATAAACTCACCAGCAGAGCAAGCAACAACGCCCTTCCAGCGCTGCTCATCACTCAAATGAGCCATCTTGTTGTATGCACCACGGAGCTTGAAGCTGAACACCGGAAGCAGATCCTCGCGCTTGAGAAGCACCCGGCTTTCCAACCGGCTACTCAGGTTGACAGCATGGGTAAGAGGGCTTTCTTCAATAACATCGTAAACTCGTGACGTCAAAATCAACCGGAGATACTAGAATGGCGGGGCAATGTTAGAATTTGAAGTTTCAGTGGGTATTGCAGAACTTAAATTACATCTGGGTAGCCGTTGGGAAGAAGAAAAGCTTCAGGAATTCCCCAATTAGGAGGCAAGCCCGGGGTCCTTTGCTCACGTTCAGAGGGCGGCGTCGGAGCGGCGGTATACTCAGTCAGCGCAAGCCCGCTCGTCTTGGGAGTGACGGGCGTCGTGGCGCCGTTGGGAGTCTCGTCGGACATGATAAGTTCGGGTTGATTTCTGCCAAACGATAAAGACAATCAATCCCAATGCTGATTAGAAGAATTTGAGAGCCGGGAAATTCTGAACTTTGACTCTTTTTTCTTGAGGCGGGACCGGTGATCGGAGTCCCTTATGTCATCAACCCCGAGTGCTAGCCCTAGTTAGTTAGTGAAATAAAGCTTGATTTAGGAGTGTCGAAAGGGTGAAATAAGAGGAGATGAGATCAAAACGAATGGAAATCTTCCAGACAAACATGAAACAGTGTGTTCCTTGGACTGAATGAAAGGAGACAACGTTGGGTAGCAGGCACGACAAGTAGATGTAGATAGCGGTCAACAATGAGGGGCTACTAGTACAGGAATGGCTTATGCTTGGGTTATTTTATTTTAGACCAATCCGACATCAGAGATTTACAAACAGAAATATGTAAAGCAGGAACCCTGATGTCGTTGTAGCATTGTAAATACATGGCCTCCAGGGCTCCAGGGCTGGGCCAGATAGTTACATAACCCAATATGTTTGAAAACTTGGCGTCATACCACAGCTCGACCCTTTGCGCTCCAGCATCTTGAGCCTATTCCAACATCGACACTTCCCAACTCCTCACGCCTCCCGACTTGATGATTTAATCTTTGCTACATAACCACCCATTATAAAACTCGGCTGAATATCCCCGACACGAAAACTTCGCATCCCGTGGACGCAATTGAACTCCGCACGACCGTCAACATACCCGACCACGATCAACTTCACGATGAGCCGGGAACCTGTTCCTTCGTCTTTTGACGAGGAGAACCCGTATGTATCACACATTAGCCGTGTGCTCCGCAAGCGGAACCCGACAATGCCGCAGAGGAAGCGAAGGGAAGGCTCGTCTGCTAACACTCGGTCTCGGACAGTCAATTTACAGAAGAGACCGGCGTTCAAAAATTCAAACGACGTCTCAAGGAAGAGCCCCTGGTTCCACTTGGTACGAAATCCATCTGCACAAGCCCTCATCTTGACTTTGGAATTTCCCTCCCAACATTGAAAACCAAAACTAATACATACTGCCACAGGATGCGCCGCAACATGCTATGCCCTCTACCGCGCCTACCGGTCGATGAAAAGCGGTGACTCGGTTGAAATGAACCGAATGTTCCGAGCCCGTATCTACGCACAAGCCTTCACACTAGTCGCCCTAGTCGCCGGCGGAATGTACTTCAAGACGGAGCGGCAACAGCGCCGGGAATTCGACCAAGCAGTGGAACTTCGGAAGAAGCAAGAAAAGCGTGACGCGTGGTTGCGCGAGCTAGAGATTCGTGATAAGGAGGATCGCGAGTGGAGGGAGCGTCACGCTGCCATTGACGCTGCGGCCAAGGAGGCCGGAAATAAACCGGCGCCCCGTTCTGAGTCTGAAGCGGCACGGTCATCGATCGAGCCTGCGGATGAGAAGTCTATTGGGGTTATGGATGCCGTCAGGGCTCTTATCTCGCGGAACTGATGGCGTGCGCTCTGTAAGATAGGAGAGGTCCTTTTTTCTTTTTGTACATATGCATCCAAATTCTCCGATAGTATGTGGATTTTTAACTGATGAATTTTGCCGTTCTAGAATCCATAAGCATAAGTGACAGAAGTACGATTGGTTCATCTGGGGTCGTACTGTGTACGGGGATGATGATCGACGTACCGAGGTTGAAATATCTCAATTGATCCCGAACAATATCACGCCACTAGCAGATGGTAAACCACCTTTTCGGCAGCATCTGGAATTTACGAAACAGCACGTTGATTTTGGATCAGCATGGCCGAGTTTGTTTCCTTGGCCGAGGCTTTCATGTGAGATCGACAAAGCTAGCGTGCGGCAACCTAACATAATCAGTGCTTATTCGGAACGGGAGTGCCGTCAAGGGAGTGTGGTTTTGAAATAGTATTGAATTCTTGGAGTATGAAAGAGTTTAAGATGAACGCTTCTCATCCTGAAGACTAATATGGTGCGCATGATAGAAACCTAGAATGCGGGGAAGTTGAGCCAACACCAAACCCTAATTTGGAAAGCTCCAGGGTCTATCAGAATGATCCTGTGTCAAACTTTTCAGTTACCCCGAGACTCCACCCCTCATGCAGCCTAACTCTTTCAAGACTTTCCCAAGGCACATTTTTTTCCGAATCACAGTACCATGACGTGTGGAACACAAGCTAGTCGCCTTATAGGCCGTCTCTCACGAGAGTATAAAAGCCCATGATATTCCCTTACGACTGTAGATCTTCTCGTTTCCTAATCCTTTCCTCCATACCCCTGTCAAATCGACTACCCACCTGTACGCTATACCCAACAAAAAGAACCGTTTCCACATTCAAAATGCTTTCCTGGATCAACCCATTGCGAATCGTGCAGGCCATCCTGTCCCTAGCCACGATTGGTCTTACCGCATATGGTATGTTTCACTATCCACAAAGTACTCATGACAGCACTGACTCCATCTAGAAATTGCCTCTCTGTACGACAAATGGTCCTACTCGAATGTAGTCTACTACATGCTCTTCAACGGCTGCTGGACAACAGCCATCGCAGTCCCATACCTGGGCCTCGCACCCCTACGCTTCCCTCGCTTCTCGCATGAAATCGCAATTCCTCTCATAGAGCTGCTCACCGGCGGCCTCTGGCTCAGCGGCTGGATCGCCTTGGCTGCCATGATTCCCTCGCCTGGCGCATGCCACTATTCCAGCTGTCACGCCCTCCAGGCTTTGATTGTCGTCGGGGCCGTGCAATGGTAAAACAGATGCCTAAAGATTGACGCATGCATACATTATCTAACCTGTGGTTCTGAGCAGGGCTACTTTCGTTGTCACAAATACCTTCGCCATCATAGACCTGAAAAACTCTCGCCGCAACGCGAAGAATCACCGTAATGATGCTTCCCCGGAGATGAGTGCTGCTGATGCGGATACCAACGGCAATACTACCACTACCGCCACTGCCGATGGGGCTGTCTAGATATACACCGGGTAAATGTTTATGTACCAACGACACTTGCACAGCTTGCAAGCTATGATATGCACGCGGTTGAGTTTCCTATATGAAAGCGATACCCCACTTAGTTTATTTGACGAACACATGTCTGCCCCTGTTTATATGATCTTGATAATACCAGAAATAGTCTGGTCATGTATCAACCCAATATTAATACGATAATCTGTCCTTACTCCATTTCTCTCCTTATCCGGACGATGCAGCTCAATTTACAGCACCGTTTTAAAGCAATAATACCCAGAAAATTGAAATCTTTATCATGAATATACTCTAGCGTTAAAATTTTAACCGATATCCATCCCGTCCACCTGGTGTATCGATTTCATTGGCCCGCTCTGGCCAGTCTGGTTCATTTCTGCATGGAATCCCAGCACCTCGCCGTAGCTAGAAATAATCAGCAAAATGTCCGGAAAAGTGTTGACATGTACTGCATTTAGGATTGACTACTGACATGATGGTCTTCCAGATATCGGCCGGGAGTTCTGCTTCGAGGAAGGCCCAGTCGAATGTTTCCGCGGCGACGGGTTCGTCGTTGGGATCGTGGTATGGTGCTAGATATGGGGATGAGAGGGCTTCTGCTGCGGAGATTCGTACTTGAGGGTCCAATTGAAGCATTTTGTCGATTAATTCCGCCGCTGATTTGGTTAGTATTTTTGCTTTCTTTCTTTCTTTCTTTCTGGTTCAGATGTATAATTGAGGCTTTCAAGGAAAGGGATAGCTTGAAACATACCATTTACATTCGCCTTGGGAATGAGCTGTGATATTGGGGTGCGGGCTCGCTTTGGGAGTGAGTTGATAAAGTTCAACGTCTGCAGAAAAAGGAAAAATAATTAGAAGACCCCTTTCGGTGGGTATAATATATTTTCATAAGTATGGCCTCACTCACATTTTCACTTGTGATATTGTTGATGACTTCTTCAGGGGGGCTCCCAAGGAGATCGGTAATAACACAGAACTGGTTGATATGGTTCTTTCCAGGGAACAAAGGCTCTCCCAGAAGTAATTCTGCGAAGATGCACCCGGCACTCCAGATGTCGACTTTTTCGTTATACTTTCGCCAAGTGAGCATAATCTCGGGGGCACGGTAGTATCTCGTCGAGACATAGCCGGTCATGTGTGACTCTTGGATCCGGGCCAGGCCGAAGTCACATATTTTCAGGTCACAGTTCTCGTTTACCAGAATGTTGCTTGGTTTTAGATCTCTGTGGATGACACCGGCTGAATGGAGATATTTCAGGCCACGCTGGAATTGTTGTTAGGAAATCGTGCGTTCTAGGCGGGAGTTGGTAGATGGTGCTAACCATTATTTGATACATAAAGTATTGGGCGAATTGATCTTCGACTCTTTTCGCCTTCAAGATTGTATCAAGGTCTGTTGCCATGAGTTCGGTCACAATGTATCTAGAGTAATTAGTACTTTCCCGTGTGAGGAGAGTGAAGTCTCTCCATACATGTCTTCTGAGGGAGAAATAAAGATATCGGTCAGGTTGATGATCTAGCAGGAAATTAGACAGTCCTTCCATACTACGCGAGGAAGTTCTCACGTTTTCATGTCGCAACTGTCGCAGTAGTTTCATTTCTCGAAACATGTGTCTTGCAATAGCCGGTGTCTTGAAAGGTTCCGAGAGTTTCTTCACAGCGACAGTCCGATGAGCAAGCTGATCTCGTGCAGAGCTATGGAAGTATTTGTTAGTTCTGGCTGGTGATGGAACTGCTCCAGGAAATAATACCAGACAAGCCCAGATACCCCAAGTCCAAGAGGTTTCCATTCTGTGTAGCTAGTTCGTATAGTCTTAGCATACAAGATCTCGCCCAAATATCAGCGGCTTTGGTTTCTTTCTAACCGTTCAGTAGTCTCAAATATTGTACCCATTACTGATTTCTGGGAAAAGGTTGCCATTCGCTCCCCGTAGGCTGGCGTAGGTAAGGCTGTAGGCATCATTGGAGAGAATATAGAAGTAAATAATGGCTATAATACAGGGATCAGCAAGAGAAACATGTAACAAAGTGTGATATGAATAGTATGAATTATATGAATCGAAAGGAATCTAAAGAATAAATAGAAATCCAATGTATACTAACCGTTCGATGCCGTCACAAGTGCTCGGGTAGTGACATCAGAGGCTTTGTGGATCTCCCCACATAATCCAGCACATGCAGACAAAAAATAGAAGAATCATGATCATTCGCGATCATTCGCGATCATTCGCTTTGCATTGCATTGCACGATGGATCTTCGTATCTACCCCGTGTGACCCGACCAGCTTCGGGAATTCCAGGGCTTAGGCTTGTGCAGGAACCTGAGTCCTATTTTTAGGAATGTTTATGCGGAAATAGGTCTCCATGTCATAGACAGATTCGTAGATTCGTTGGTTCGTAACTATGAAAAGTTCCCAATATGAGTTTTGGTACGGGCTTTTCCGAGCAGTCCTGAGATTAATATACAGCCATCGCTAAGCAGAAAAAGAGAACAGCCAACCAATGGAAGCTTATTCCCTCAAGTGAACCCATTGTCCGTATCGATAAAGTTCTCAAACATGGAATCAGTAAAGCCATTCGGCTCGTACGGCGCAAATTCGGTCGGGATTGCAGGCAACATTGTCCAATCGTTATTGTACGCGCCCGGTCCGATAGGGTTGGCGTTATCTGCGACCGACTCATCGGACCACGTCCCAGTCGAAAATGTCGGCGATGAGCCGGTGGGCAAGGAAGGACCGACATCCGGGTTGGAATGGGTTTGTAGGACGGTCTGGGTCATCCTGGCGAGCTGGTGGTTGATTTCGTGGTCTTGGCACTCGGCGTGCTGGAAGACGAGGTTTTTCAAATCCCACAGTTCTTCTCGTAGGCAATTCAACTGTGCTATGAGGATGTCTTTCTTTTCGGTTTCGTGGGTGAGCCGACGCTCAATTTGCTTGTGTTCTCTCTTCTTTCTTTCGCGGCATTTGTTGGCGGCGACGCGGTTTCGTTCCAGGTGCTTTGCCCGCCGAGGGCTGACGGATTGGGAGGATGAGGCGGATGAGACGGATTTCATGGTTTTGGTCTCCTAGAGAGGTATTGGAGGTGTTGGAGGTGATAAAGGACTTGAATTAATAGTGAATACTTTTAGAATGTAAATTATAATTGAGGGGAGTAATTTCAAGAATCTACAAAATGTAGTAGAAATTCGATGAACACGCCGCAACCTTGGACTCCCAAATATATAAAAGAGCCTGGACCAAAATCAATGACGTAATACACTTTGTATGTTAAGGATCTGGACAGGATTGAAAATATGAAAGCAAGCTTCGAGAGAAGCCGTAACCTGGCAGCCGTTTCCGGTTGTGCCTGCCATCCAATAGTCTAGGCCTCAGCCACATGAGGTTGGTTGAAATACACTCGGGGTGTTTGGAGAGGACAATGTAGCAGAATACAATGTCTATATTCGAGAATTGAAGACGTAACCTTCATCAGACCCGGCTCCGTACAATCTCTGTCAATGTTTAGAGACTCCTATATCGACGTGAATGTCTTGATGTGGAGAGACCCTCGGAAGTTCTCCCCACCACATCCCACCACATCCCACTTGGAACGCAACAGGGAAGCTCCTTTCGACCGAGAACTGCCTTGTCAACTATAGAGGTCGACCCTCTAATATCAACCGTTCTTCAACGGTATGCACTCTTAGCTCGGTGGTAAATAGCTCGGTAGCTCGGCAATACATGCCTTGAGTTGATTTGACACCAAAATATATACATCTCTAACACAGGTCAACCAGCGATCTGTTCGTCAATATACCGCCTCATCGTCTCGAACTCTGATTTGCCTGTCTTTAATCTCATTAGCAATCTATAATATTATAATATAATACCAAAATTTCATACCGAAAGCAAGTATCTTATGTGTTGCTGAAGAAAGGTCAGTCAAGTATTCTCAGATCTGAACCTTGCCATTAGAAAACATCCAAAATCAACTTACCAGATCCGATACATTTCGATGGCGTTCGAATTCATCACGTGCATATTTGTGTAGCTCAGTCCGTGTTGACGAAGGTGGCACCTCTGAACGTGTCTGTTAGTGTCATACATGGCTTCTAGAAACTGGAACGGTGGGCACACTTATTAATGCTCGCATGATTTCCCGCCAGAATGACAACACCCGCTGTCTCTGGATAAACTGTATGATTCAATTAGTACATATACTTCAAACCAAGCTTGAGTTACTTACATGATCTAGACTGATAGAAGGTTTCTTCAGCTTGGAGGGCCGGGTGTGTGAGACCGCCGCGAGGAAACGAAGTGAGGAACGCATTGGAGTAGATCAAACCATGACCTCATTTACAAAAAAAAAAAAACAACTGCTCCCGTCAAAGCTTTTTCTTTCTGATGATAGAGATGCCAATTATTAGCTTGTTGTAGGGGAAGGGATACAGAAGGCGGCGAGGCAGTGGATATTTCTGCCGCATTGTGTTCACGGTCAGGTGATCACTATATGACGGAAGACTGTTTAGCCTCATGTAGCAATGGCAAGTACCGCAATATTTGAAGTATATATGCAGGACATAATCTTTGTAAAGCAAGTATTATTGTGTAGAAGAGCAAAATATTCATATGAATCCGTGGTAGATTTTATTCATCTTAAGGCATAATATATAGTTTGCAAATAAATCATTCGTATCCAATTTTTACTCCTGCAGAGGCAGACTCATGCCACCAAAAGTTATAGTCTTGATAGTCATGAACTCATCAATACCATACTTGCTGCCCTCACGGCCGAAGCCACTCTGCTTGACACCACCGAATCTGTAGAAAGGTTAGAGCCTGATATAACAATGTGGGAGATTTTAACTTACGGAGAGGCAACGTCACTAATCAAACCAGTGTTGACACCAACCATGCCAACCTCTAGGGCCTCAGCAACGCGGAAGATGCGGCGAACATTACCACTGAAGAAGTAACCAGCGAGACCGACCTCGGCATGGTTAGCCAGCTCAACAACCTCCTTCTCGGTCTTGAAGGGGAAAAGACCAGCCACGGGGCCGAAAGTCTCCTCGCAAGCGAGAAGCATATCCTTGGTCATGCCGGTCAGAACAGTGGGGTGGTAGAAGTTAGGTCCGAGCGCGGTAGCCCTCTGACCACCAATAACAACCTTGGCGCCCTTGGAAACAGCATCCAGCACATGTTCATGGGCCTTGTTGGCGGCGCGCTCGTGAATGACAGGTCCGTGAGTGATACCGGCATCGAAACCACCACCGAGCTTGAAGTCCTTGACCTTCTCGACAAAGCGTTTGGTAAACTCCTCATAAACACCTTCTTGGATATAGATCCGGTTAGCGCACACGCAGGTCTGACCAGAGCTGCGGAACTTGGAGTTGATGGCGCCGGTCACGGCAGCGTCGAGGTCATCGACGTCGTCGAAAACGATGAATGGCGCATTACCGCCGAGCTCCCAGGAGACCTTCTTAATTGTAGACGCAGCCTGCTTCCCGAGGATGCGACCGACATTGGTAGAGCCGGTGAATGACACTTTACGCACCTCGGGGTGGGTGGTAAGGAGCTCACCCACCGCCGGGGTGTTCTTCGAGGAGGTAACAAAGTTGACAACACCCTTGGGGATGCCAGCCCGGTGCGCAAGCTCAGCGATCGCGTTCGCTGTGAAGGGCGTCTCCTGGGGAGACTTGGCCACGACCGTGCAGCCCGCCGCCAGGGCAGGGCCAATCTTCCGGGTAATCATCGCCGCGGGGAAGTTCCATGGCGTAATCAAACCACACACACCAACAGGCTGCTTAACAGTCATGACCCGGTTTCCGGGGATGGAAGCGGGGATTGTGTCGCCGTATGTGCGGGGTGCCTCCTCACTGAACCACTCGAAGAAGCTGGCGGCGTAGTTGACCTCGCCCTTCGCGTCCGCCAGGGGCTTTCCGTTCTCCCATGTAATCAGCTTAGCTAGATCATCCGCATTCGCAACCAACAAATCGTACCAGCGGCGCAGCATGCGCGCGCGCTCGCGGCCTAGCGTTGTGCGGAATTTGGGGAAGGCCTCGGAAGCGGCCTGAATCGCCTTCTCAACATCGGAGGTATCGAGCTCGGGGCAAGTTCCGATCAATTTTCCAGTCGCTGGGTCTGAATAGGACGGAAAGTCAGCGACCACCTTGAACCCGAATATTCAATTTGGTACCTACCGTAGACATCGAAAGTCTTGCCGGACTTCGCATCGACCCACTCGCCATTAATGTACGCCTTCTGAATGAAAAGCGACTGGTCTTTCAACTGTAATCGATCAGTACGAACCATGGAAATCACATTCGACTACAGATCTTACCTGCGGCGCGCCGTGTTTCATGCTGTATAATCTCTGTGCGTGAGCTGTCGGAGGAATTGAAAAAGGATATCTCGGTCGGGGTCTCAATAATTGGCGAGCGACAGGGCGGATGATGCGGTCCATTATAAATCAAGGTGAGGATGGGCCTTGGAGAGAGAAATCACACGGGAAGATGGAGAAAATTGCGGGGGAGTAGGAGAGTTGGAGATGCCTTTAAAGGGAGCAATTCAGCAATTCAGCAATTCTAGTGGGGGTTAGCTCAATGGTGATTGCTCTCTGCGTCCGAGAAGCACCGAATATGTGTAATGGTAATGTGCTAAAGAATGCGATTCTGGTAATCTTCGAAGCTCCATAGCTTATAGCGGAGATCTGCGGAGTTGATGTCATTCTGCACATAACGGCATAGATCAACGGCTGTGATTGTTGTGGTTGTTGTTATTGTTTCTTTTGTTTTGCTTGATGTTCTGTTGCATTCTGTATTGTCTTTTTTCAAGTTTGATTAAGGAAAAACCAAGTAGAATAGAGAAACCTCTTTCTGTAGAGAATGGTTCATTTCATAGATCTGGTAATTTCGGTAAGTTGGAAATCGGTATTACAGGGCTCGGTGATATAAGCCAATCAAAATTTGAGCTGTGATAAAATACGGGGTTTGTAGCCAATCAAAGTAGAAAATGAACCTCCGGCCTTGAGATAGTGTATGTGTAATACCCCGAGCTCATCCACGACTTACCCTCGAAGGGAGAAGGGTCATAGTAAGTACATACTATCCTCTAATAGAAGTACTCTTCTAAACAAACTTACTGTCAAAGCACTATAACTCTGATAGGAGCAATATGGATACCCCAGAGTGGCAATAGGTTACGGTCTGGCGAGATCCAAGGACTACTCACTCGCGATATGAAACACACATTTGACCTCATTTATTATGTATAAGTAGGTAATTGCATGCTAGCAAGTCTCTACTGATTGTCCTTCCATCTTAGCCAAGCCTTTCGTTTTTGGTCTTGGTCGTTTTAGGATGCCTTGCCCTAAGAAAGCCATTGGATGTAGCAGATGAGATTCTGACTGTGGTCCCCTAGGCAATAACTTCTAGAGGTATCTGAATAGGAAACATGAAACCAACACTCTCGTACCGCCTTGGAAGGAATCATTGGAGCTCGCAAGACCAATCGACAATAATACACCATTTTCCTTCTTCACCCTACCCATCTTTACCATTAACCTTCTTCATTTCACTACTTCATCCTTTTCATCATCATATCCCTTCTTCACCACTTCATCCAACACCTTGAATGTCATTCAAACAAGCTCCACAATCCTGGTTTGAACCCAAGTTAACCCAAAACAGATCTTTACGTTGCTTTGCTTGAAGGTTAGTGCTTTTGAGAATACATACTACAACACACCTCATCAGATTCTCGGCATCTATTCATTCGCTGGGTATAAGCTAGGGCCTCGGCCGTTTCATCTCTTTTACCCCATATCCCCCGGAATCGAGCATCATGACTTCAAATCTCCAGCACACTAACTCTACTCTCCCTGATGAGATTCAGCACATCAGGAGTCCTGCCACTAGGGAGGATAGATGCGATGATTGTCCACCTTCGCTTTCAGTTGGTTCAAAGCTCTGTTCCTCGTTCTCTCTTCGGTGTTCCCTCGATCCAATCCCAGAGATCAAGGATCCATTCCGTCGTCTTCCATGGTTCGGTCTCGAAGAGCTTCTTCTTCATCTGCCAGACTTACCAACGTTGCATCAATTGTGCCAAGCTTCGCCTGCTGTTTCCGACTATCTCAATCACAAAACTGGATTCTTTCCAAAGTTAGTTGAAAGGATCATCGACCACTGGGATCATGAGCGGGGTCTAAACGAAGATACCCGTGTGTTCTTCCGGACACTGGTCTATCTTTGGTGGAAAGAAGAGTCCGTGGCTTCAGGGATTCCTTCGGATGATAATCCATTGCCCGTCAGTTTTCACGATGAATTGGTCTACAACATTAACATAGCAAGAGAGGGCTTCAGTGAGCCAATCAAGGTCGGCTGCATTCGACTTCCGCACTCAACTCCCCCAAAGATTCTTCGTTATCTGCTGAGCCTCGCAAGTCGCATTCGCGGGGATGCACACGCCTTCTTCCACGATGCTATGACTCTGTGCTTGTCTGCCGATATACAGCAGCTCGAAAATCGGAAGTCGCCGTGGCCAAAAAACGGGACTCGACCTCCCGGGATTCCGGTTCACATCGGCACCAGGGCGGGAGGGTATCCTCTCACCTGGTTGGAGGAACAGCGACTGATGCAAGCCTTCTTGAAACCATACATCTTCTCGGTATTGCGACGAATCGTCTGCGAGAAAAAGCTACTAGATACCAGTTCTCCTCCCCCAGACACGAAGTCCCCGCACACGTTGATGTATTTACAGGGGAATTGGTTGATTGATTTCTGGAGGACCTTTGCCTGTTACGGTTGGATGAGGACAGAGCCGATAGAACAGCTAGAGACTGTGCTGTCTTGGATGCACGAAAACAAACCACGCAAGCGAGCAGCAAAGTTTACAATATGTTGCCCGAAATTTACCTCGCTGAGCGACTGCCAACGCTCGCGTGGCTTGGATAATCTCCAACACATCTACCTCCCAGGCTGCTTCTTTGCACAGACTTGCTCAGCGGTGCCTCAATCCGGTGTCAAAATCGCCGGCTTCCGCGGAGAATTCCAGAGGTTTGGTGTCAGCTTCTGGGATATTGAAAGAATGCTCTGGTTAGGACTTGCCCTTCCACGGATGGACCGCTACTTGGAGCGCAAAGACCTTGCCTTTCGGTGGTCGTCTCTGCTTCTATCAACGAATCGAGATGCAACCAAAAATACCGGAAAGACGAATGGCCTCCGATTCCGCAGCAAAACCAAGCCTATCAGTATAGGCAACAAGGTCTCGACTCATGGTACATCTGAAGTATGCAAGACAGTTTCTTGATTCAGTCAGTCATTTGGTTATCAAGAGCGAAAAGAAAAGAGAAAATTCAAAGAAAGGCCCGAGGCCATACATGTCTTGGCCGTGAGGTTTAGCTATTGAAAAAAGGGGAAAAAACATGGAGTACATTCATTGATGGCACCATAATCAAGACATTTCTCCTTCTTTCTGTGTCTTTTATAGCGGGACGTAGCATTGTAACCAGCTCTCTCTAGCTCACTAATCAGGAGCGTGGAATTCTATTTCTACACCAGTCCGAAATGCAGAATTCAAAGCGTCTTCATCAAGCCAGCACTAATTTATGGACGCTAATACAGATTGTGCGATTTCGAGCTCGCTAATTAAAATGAAATAGTCAACCTAGTCGAGCACGATAACCGTAGCATCCCGCTCAATCGGACGTTCATTCCCAGGAGCAACATTTATACCATGAGCTTTTTTCAAATGTTGGTTGAGGTTCCATTTTCGTGAAAACCCATTCGTATGTCGATTGCAAGACCTGAAATGACAGACAATATCCACTTTTCGATGAGGGCCCTTTCCAACGCCTGGTTTAACCGTCTTTGACTCCTGAGCGATGGCTCGTCTTGTGTTTTCTGCAAAAGCCTCTCTAGGTTCTGTCGGCTCTTCCGGGGCTGGGGACGAGGAAGGAACAATTGCAGGAGTCATGTGTGACTTCGAGCGTCGCTGGCCTGGAATCTTCGCTTTGGCATTGGGTCCAAGCCCAGGTTCGGTTTTGCGTTTGCGAGTTGGCTGGCCAACTGGCCGAGGAATTGGCTGAGAACTTAGTGGCTTCGAGTCACTATCGCTCGCGCTCTCGGTGTAGGCATATTCTTCTCGAGCATCTACCTTGTTTCTTTTTCTTACTCGGCCTTCGGGCATTATTCGGAACTCCATATCTTCACCGAAAAGGTCGGCGCATCGCTTTGACGCACGCATTACCGCTGAGCTTGGGAGTCCAATCATTGATGCCAGCCCCATAACTTCACTCCAGTCTCGCAGTTTGAGTCGGCCATTGATGTGATGACTGCTCTCGTGGCCAGTAGAGAAACCACGAGATTGTGCTCGGGTTTGGGAAACGTCTGGCAGATTTTCATCCTTTGTCTCCGGTCTAGTGGATATGTGTGCACTGTTGGAAGGGCGTGATATGTTTCGCTTCTGAGACTCCTGTCGAGCACTTCTCCGACCACGTGATCGACTTCTGCTTCTGAGTTTGCGGCTGTGTCGGGTCTGATGGTCTCCGTCCGAATCACTCCATTGCTCTTCACCAGATTCTTCCTCGAACTTGCGACCCTTCATGGCGCAATGGAGCCCGTATAGCAGCCGGTCAACTTGCGAAATCACATTGCGGACCAACGGACGTAATTGGCGAATGGCTGTGTCGTCGTCGAGGAGGACTGTCGGTCGGAGGGTTCTTACATCAACACGCGCTTCTTCGTTCTCTTCATTTTTCCCCAATTCATCTTCCATCAGTTCCTTCCCGTCATTCATTTTATTCCGGGAATTATGTTTAATTTCTTCCGAATCCCACTCTCGGGCTTGGAAGGTCTCCTTGGAGGTCTTCAGTATGAACGCTGTGATGCATTCTTCCAATCCCGCACTGGGTCGGGGATCGGGTTGCATTTGGAAATTATCAGAGGCATCCATTTCCCTCTGAATGATCTCATTGGCACGGGGAACTGTGGCTGCATGAACAGGCCATGCAGCCCATCGTTTGTTCACACGGAATGGCACTTTGTCGATCCCGGGATTCTCCTGGGCAGTGTCCTGCGCTCGCTTGCGAACCACGTGAGCATTGTAAAGATGAGCTGCCAAATCTCTGGTTCGGTTGGTAACAATTGCATTATAGGCTCCGATGTCATCGGCGTTGTAGTTCCTCCACGAAGTGGCGTGCCCGTCAAATAGATTAGGACGCTCAACTCCAGGTGGCAGGTCAAGACCTCGGTCAACTACGTAGTAGGTTGGGTCAAGTGGAGACTCCTGTGCCCTTTTTGAGTGTATGCGACTTCTGCCACGATTATTTCCCTGGCTTTCGTCATCAGAGTCATTCTGTAACGCCAAGGGCTGCTCTCGCATTATCACGTCAATTTCATTTTCGTTTTGGTCTAGCTCCTCATCCATAAGATCTGCTTCGGAAAAGGGCTCTAGAGGGGCATCTTGTTCGATGGGGCCTCCAAAAAGAGAACTTCTTGGCGGTTCTAGCTGAGAAGAAGGTTGCAAGACATCACTGCTTGGGCCTCCAAATAATGATCGGTGTGGCTGTGCAGATTGTGGTGGAATATTTTCTGGCCAAGTAGACTGGCTCCCATATAAAGATGACATGCCGGGAAGAAACTTTGGTCTCTTATGGGCGAAAGGTTCGGATCTGGAATGCCTAGATGTCACATAGATGCGGATTTTTATTAGACAACATCCGACTTAAGGTCAAAAGAACAACCACTGTCCCAACTCTCTGTAACCGAGACTCTGAATGGTGAATTTTGGGTCTCCTGTCCGACAGTTCGATTGTTCCTGGTTGAAGATGTCAAAAATCCCGGGTGGATCATCGGCACAGTCACGTGATCGATATAATAACACCCAGAATATGTACGCTAGTCCCAAAATGGCAGTGTATAGTTATAATCCGATTTCTGGGAGTTATCACAGTTTAGCGACCGGCCATTGATCCTCGGTCAAGTTCTATAAGTAGAATAAAATGAGCGCGGTTTGCGTCCAAAAGACGACCTGTGGTCTGTAAATCGGCCTCTCTAGTACGAACAGATATACTCTTAACTGATACGTCCACGCTGCTCTATTTTTCAGCACCCTCCGGGTTAGGTTCTAACAAAGGATCAAGTTACGCCATTCTCCTGACTTTAATCTATATTTCGCTCAATGGAACGTACAATAATCTTGAAGAGAGTAATGATAACATTTTCATAGTAATATAGACAGACGGCTCTATTCAATTATCCAAAGCGAATGGAAAGGGACAAGATCAATGAGAGAACAAAGCGAAGCCACCCTACTTTTACATTTTCAAGCCGCATTCTAGAACCAATCGTTAGGAAGAAAGAGCGGCATGGAATCCTCCCAAATAGAATTTGTCAAAGCACGCTTATTGGATCCATCGGAATCCATGATCATGATCTGACCGTAGGGCTGGAAAGTCTCCTCATACAAAGCGCACTCATACTGGAATCCATACATGCCGGAAGACCACATGATTTTTCCATCCTGGCGCCAAACAGCGTGGGCATCGTTGGCGCCGCTGGAAGTCAGAATGCGGAAATTAGTACCGTCAGGGCGGATGGTGCAGACGTCGTAGTTGGTCGGAGAAACCTTGCGGGTAAAGACTATAAATTCACCATCGGGCGAGAAAGAGGGAAGGTTATCCCAGCCGCTGGTAAGCTGGGTAATCTCTCTGGTCTCAATGTCGATCATGCGTAAACCAATCTCTGTTTCGTCGCCGTACTTGGCGGTCTCGGCACCCCACACGCGGTAGACGACCTTCTTGCCGTCGTGAGAGAAGCTGGGAAAACCGGTGTTTAGGTATTTGGTTTGATTGATAAAGAGCTTGCTGGTGGTGAGGACCTCGGTGTGGCTACCGTTTGCGGTGGAGCGTAAAATCCAGCCTCCTCGCCAATCACGCGCCTCAAACCAGGCACCTACTCCGAAGACAATCCACTCGCCGTCTGGAGACCAGCTGGGATTGTAGGCCCCGGCCAGGCCTTCTCCAATTAGAGTAGTGTCGATTAGACTCGTATCATTAGGCTTATATACTAAGGAGGCATGCCTATCCTCTAGATCAAAGGTTGCAATGGAGGAGTTGCCAAGTTGCCTTTCAGTCACAGCCACGCGGTCGTTCGACGATAATTGAGGGAATATATCAGTGAAGCGGTAATCCCATTCGCTATCCCAGCTGTAAAGCTCCTTGAAGAGAGGGCGGATAGACCATACAGCTTTCTCGTAAACCACGTACTTTCCATCAGTAGACCACGAGGGAGAGCGAATAGTGGTGTTGACGTAAGTACCGTTTGTGAGATACAAGCCCTCCTTATCGCCGCCCTTCAGATGGTACCCAATGGTGGAGTTCGTCACGTACTGGGGAAAGGTCTTGACACCAGTACCACCAACCTCGGTTCGACGGTCATTGCCATTGATCCCAATAGACACAATTGTGGAGTTGCCATCTGCCACGAGCTCAGGTCTATGTGCATCCCACGTCCCATTACGAGTCATCTCGTAGAATATGAGGCGCTTGCCATCAGGTGACCATTTGGGAGATCCAAGGCAGTAGGAAGCACGGTGGGCGACAAGGCGCAGATCTGAACCATCGGGGCGAATAATATAAATGCCGAGTTCTTGGGTATGCTCCCAGCCAGCGAGGCCAAGATACGTAGGTTTTCCGTGGCCATCCCATATTGTGTTGCGGTCTGAGGAAAATGCAAGCCAATTTCCGTCTGGCGACCAGGCTGGACGAAAGTGACCGTGCATCATGTCCTCATCTGGCCGATTAGCCGGGGTATCGGTGATGTTCCACTCGGCACCGGTCTCCAAGTTTTTAACCCAAATATTAGCGTTGTAGTTGTTGGCGGTTGAGACATATGCTGCTAATGTTCCATTGGGTGAGATGACAACGCTATCTTCCGCTGCTGGGGATTTCACAATCGGCTGTAGATCGGAGCCATCTGGGTGCACTCGCCAGATATCGGAGTTTCCATCACCGTCACGCTCACTAGTGAAGCTAATCCATTCACCGTCGGGAGAAAACTCAGCGTGGTATTCATAACCGGGATCTTTCAACAGAGGACGCTCGTTGGTGCCGTCCGCGTTGGCGATGTATAATTCTGAGGTACCAGGGGCAATGCGGTTCATCAACAGCAGACCTTTTTTCCCAGCTGCTGCGGAAGGGAGAGGCGACGCAATACCTGCGGTTGGCTTGCTTCGAATGGCATCGCGAGGCAAGTGAGCATGAAGGTTAGCACTGTTGTCAACCTCGGTACCCGCATCTCGGGCATAAGGGCAATTAGCTAACACAGGGACGATGGCGAGGCCCGCGACAATAATAATGCTCAAACGCATTTCGAACGCCGTGGACAATTTTAGAAATACAATGGTCTCAGGGGAAGATGGGTTTTCCAGGGCTCTTCCAATGTTACTCGAAACCAAAAGTTGTCCCTGTACTAATATGGAATGCGGGGATGGAACCTCGGAAGGTGCTACCTACATGCAGGTGGCTGTATATATAAGTTATTAGCCATAGGTTTGAGGGTGTTTACCTGAGCGTTATATAGAATCGTTTGCCTACAAATAATCCATCCATCGTAGGTATTTTCTTCGGGTCAGTGGCACCCGTCAGCAGGACAACAACTTATTACCTTACACTGATTGGTTGAGTGCCTGTATATTCAACGAGTACCCAACATCCTTGCGTTGCTTCATGATAGTTTGACCATCAGAAGAGCGAAATTCGTCTGCAATAGGGTCTAGAACAAGGGTAGACTCTGCATACTTCCTAGAGTAACCCTAACCACGCCATTTGCCACGTCAGGGGCGTCGAATCCATCGAATAATGGTTAAAAGACGCAGAATGCTATTTCAAACTTGCCATTCGCAAATACATATGTTTATTATATGGTTGCATTCTATGCTCAACGTGAAGAAATATTGGACCTCGGCGGGAACTGGTAAACACTTCGCCGAGATACCGGCCTGGGACAGAGGTCCGTATGAGAAGGGTGCTTGAAGAATCGGATTAAGATATACTACTACAGGAAATGAGCACCTCAACAGGAATATTTCAGATTGCTTTAGTCGGGATTCCTGGACAGTGCTTTTCTAGGTTCGGCGTCCTAGAATTTGTTACAAAATCAGATTCGCAATTTGCCACATGAGATTACAGAGCGACAATGGATTACATTCGAGGCATTATTGATAACGACTGGTGAGATGAAATATCGATGGAACCATGAGACATGACCAACCGGAGTCAGCAAAGCGCCACGATCAGCCCGGCCCAGCCTGTTGTCGCATGTAGTACAGCGAAAAGATATCTATTGCTCCTTAGTTTCCAAAATTGGTTATTTCTTCAGCCACAATATATATATAGTATACACAAAACTAGACCCATGTTGTCCACTACATTTTGGAAAGTAGGCGTCACGGAAGGTTACACAGATTGCTCAGCACTGAAAGCTCACATTGAACACAAGAGCCAGCGCCAGGTGCTGGCGGGCTGAGTCTCCGGCACTTTCCTAGGCCTGACTGCTCTTGTTACCAAAATAGGTAAATCCATGAAGGTCATCGAAAGCACTAGCATCGGATTCGTCTTTTTTTGTGCCAGTAATTGATTCTTGCAAAACCCACAAGTTTCTAACATCAAATCCTCAGATCTCCACGGATGGTAACTTCGAAATCTTAGCAGGAGGTAACCTTGGAACCTGTCGGGTATAAATGTGGGGTTGTAGATCGTGGTCGTTTAGACTCGGAGATAGGGCTGATGCGGACTTCGGAAATTTATTTAGACATTTCTGCTGTTTGGACATGGTGAATTATTTCTCATCCGATATGATAGTTACAAAGAGAAAAAGAAATCTAAGCAGAAAAGCACAGGTTCGCTCTATTTCATGCATCAACGGAATCAACGACTTGGACATTCTCACTCCGATTCCACCAGAATTCTCGAATCAATTCTCGAATCCTGATCGAATGTCACCATGAACGTCTTCCACCTTGCTTGTCCGACTTCTGTTTTCTCCTGGCCGATGACGGAGCTCAAAAACCCGCCATGTGTAACAACGACAATGTCAGGTCTTTTGCCATCCTTCAGTTCTTTGAATTTCTGCTCCAATCGACGCTGAATTCGTGCTCCGCGCAGGCTCAAGCTCTCCGGATCGCTGGCATAAAGCCCTTCCTTTGCTGGGAATGTGGGATCTAAATCCAAGATTTCCCATGGGAGATCGTAAAACTCCGAACGTAAAATCGCGATATCTGAGCCAGTATCACATGGCCGAGCGGAGTGTGCCTGCACATCTGGCTCTAACAAAAGGGTTGCTCCATTTTGAACTCCTGCCCCGGAGCCTTGAGCGTAAAACTTCTCATCGATAGTTTGTTGGAAGCCCAGACGTGCTGTTTGAAGAGTGCGTCGGAGCGGAGATGTCATTACTAGGCCAACACTCTCCTTGAACGGAAAGTCTTCACAGAGTTTCAGGCATTGTGCGATCCCTTTTTCTGTCAATGGAGGATCGAGAATGGTTGTGTCGTGGCCGGGGTTGTGTATTCCCTCTGCGTGCCGAACGAGATGTAACCGGAAAGACATTTCGGTGACGGTTGGCCGGTGA